TACATATTTCGAAACTTTTTGGTGGAAATAAAACTGATTCGTTTGCTGCATTCGCTGATATCGAAACTTTAATTCCAGTTTCTTTTCTCTCCAGCGATAAATAAGAGTACGAATAAAAAGAAAATTTGTAACTATAAATAATGTATGTTTTAATGTAAGTTATTGAGAAAATAATTATGGAGTTTGAACAGAAAATTGAGTCTAACTAGGAAATTAATTTCTTTTACTCATTAGTTCTTTTTACTTATTTGCCATATAATAGGTCAGTAAAAGTAACTTCTAGAATTAAGTTTTTTTGTCAATTATTTTTTTTACATTTTGAATTATTTTCATAATTAGTTTTGTCGTTGAACTTTATACTTTATTTTTGTACTGATAGCACAAAACGCGGATAAGTGCGTGCATCGTTGGATGGTTATCTATCTGCGTCAGTATCCATTGTTTACGATAAGATAGGTGCTATCCATATTTAGTAATCATCATTACTCTTGTCGCTTCGATCGATACATTATTCGTATGCACTTTATATCCATCAAAAGAGCAGATTAATGTAAAGGAGAATTGAGATCGCTTCGTACATTATAGTATATAATAAATATGTACAATAGACTAAGTTTAATGTGAACTTATCACTGGAGAATTAATTATAACGTAACTTTGTAAAAGTAGCATTTCGCGTTCTTTGCATATGTGCCAGACGTATCTTTTGCTGTTTACATACAGTTCTCAAAGTTCTGATTGACATACGATATTCAACAAAATCACATTTCTGTTGAAATATGAATTTCATCTCAATTTTAGCGCACTGCTGGCACCAGTCATGAGTTTCTTAACGGGTTTTAATATTTTCGTATGTACTTTATTCGTGATATATGTATAAGAGTAATTGAAGAATATTTGCAAAAATTATATTTAATCAAATATCTCGCGATATTATTTTAATGTTTATTAAACTTGTGAACTTCAGATTACAATATTATTCGCTTAGATTTTTCTATTGTTAAGTTTTATTCGTTGGTCACAAAATTCAAAACATGACACTATAAGAAAAATGTACTAGATTTTAATAAATATTTGTTTAAATAGTATTAACTTAACATTTAGTTATGATAAATAAATATTTACTAAATAAAATAAATGTTAAATCAACTTAATGGTTCTTGTATCAAATAAATGTATGTTACATTTAGTAAATATTCAGCTAGTACCATTCAAACAAATATTTATTAAAATTTAATATATTTTTTTTCGGTGTACGGATACTCTAAATGAACGATGATTAAGTAGCAATTTGTATCATTATTAAAAATTAATCATATGCAAAAGAATCACATTGACGAAGTTTGGTAGCAGTAATATTTATCGTTTTAAATCAAAGGTATTGTAGTTTATTACGCAGAATTTGTGGCTTCTGTGTAATAGTCGATTAAATAAAGAAACGAGTTAAATATTGGGAAGTTTTAAAGTTGACAAGATATTGATTTATATAAGAGGCTAAGTAAAAAAGGTTTAGGATAAAAAATAATAAAGATTATTAACATGCATTTTTATGAGAACTATGAACCTCATAAAAATGCATGTAAATAATTTTTTATTTTAAATAGCAGTTCAATGCAATCAGTGAAGATCTTGCGTGCGTAATGTAAAACTTAATAATCTATGCGAAATTGTCATCGATAATTATTATCATATGATCGATAATTATTATCAGATGATGATCCATATGCTCCTTTGTTGTTTATTACTGTTGTTCAAAGGGTTAATCAAGATTGTATTTTATTAAAATTTAATCGGAGATTGTTGCTGTTTGGTTCATCATGGGAGATGTAAGTTATTGCAGTAACAACGTCACACTTTGAACACACATGGAAATGCAATGCACAAAGCGTTCAAAATTAACGCGACCGTACATGTCATAACGCATGAGAGTGAAACTTTTTGATATAGAAGGTAATACACATAGCTCGAAATTCGCTTTCGCAACGCGTCAGTGTTGTGCAAACATGCGTACATCTAAACATTGTGACAGCTATATCGATTCGAAATGGATACAATATCCGAGGACCGACCATCATATAAATGGAAGATGGAAACCGCCAGAAATATTGGTCACGCTCTGTACCCCTATCTCTTTTATGTGATATTCAGTTTTTAATTTATGCTTTTAATTTGTTTTTCGAATCGAGCATTGCGAAAGGTGTTATTTCGCTCTGCATATACGCGATAAAAGAGTTGCGATCCGATCAAACTCTATTCATCTTTTACGGCTTCTTGCTGTATGCATCTCTTTTATTTCGAACTTAGTTATTTTTGAAATTGGAAAAATTATGGACGGAAATAATTTATTAGAAATGTACGTGATATATAGTTAATCAATTTCTTAAATGTCAAATTTAATTATATGTGTATGCACGTGTACGCGCGCTTCGCTGAGGAAATAATAAAATTGATCGATAAATGACTGAAGAGGAAGATTCGGATAAAAAATCCTCGCTTCATGATCCTTTGGCATACGCTTGGTTGAATGTTAAAAATCAATAGAACAGAAATTTTATTGCTGTTTGACCTATACCATATCCGAGTTATAATGGAACTGCCACATTCGTCGGACATTATAGTTTTTGAAAAATACATGCAGTTTCTTTCTTTGTCATAATATACAATTATAATTTCATCAATATACAACAATAATAAATTAACAATACAGTTAATAATAATATTATTATATGCACTATAACAAATTATTATTAATTAAAATCAAACAAAATCTTTTAAAATAGCGACAATAATAATAACAACAATAATAATATGTACAAATGTATATTAGTATATATTTAGTGAAACGTATAAGCGTTTAAATACACGTTTATAGACTATATAAATATGTAAACAACGTGCATTCATATTTTACAATTGATACGCAATAAATGTAGTATAACTTATAGCAATACTAATGTATCATTATTATTTTCCTTTGTTTCTATGCAGAGAGTTTTCCGACGCAAATACAGTACATATATTATTCGAATCGTGCATTTAATAATTGTCATTCGTCACGAGTGAGGAAGCTGCAGTCAGATTTCACAAGTTATATGATACGTGCGTACGTTGATGGTGATATCAGGCGTAATACGTATGTTTCAATCGTAATCGAGTAGAAAGATATTCTTCGCGTGAATTTATATGATCGAAATGTACAATTTTGTGTGAAAACAGAATCGAATCGCTAATGGCGCCGATGTTGAATTAATATTACATGCTTTGCCGGCGACGGAGGGTCGACGGACGCCAAGTTTTATCAGGTGTTCTTGACGAGGGGTTATCTAACTGCACGCAAACCGTGCACCATGATACGTCGCTATAACAATAGAATGAGAAACACAATGCGAAATATTTTCAATTTCAAAGAGTGTACAAGAGGAAACCACAAAGGAATAAAAAAATAATTGGCTAGAATACGCGCAATGACTAGATCTTAATTGGAATAAATAAAAGAAAAGAAAAATTGTGCAATACAAAGAGATATGGAGATATATAAAAGATACGATTATATTTTAACAATATGGAGAATGTTTAATCAATAAATGCTCGTGCGCGTAATTATACCGTATGAAAAACTGAATTAAACATGCAACCTTTTGCAAAGTTATCGAATAAGATTTCTCGGTATCATTGACAAAGAAAAAAGACGCCGATATTTATTAAGGATGCAATTCTATCTGTAATTTGTTTAGGATGACGACGCTGGTGATCCGTCGCCCACTTCTTATAATTAGATTACTCTTAGCTCGAAGAAATGGAAGTTTACATTGACTTCGGTAGACGTAAAAGTTAGGCGTTAACTAATTTGTGGCTCTACAGAATAAGAAGAAGAATTGTGTGGGCGAGTGATTGATATAGAATACTACAATCACGTGCAAGAATGCCAACGCTGTATCAGTATGAAAATCTGCGAGGACAATCTCGGGAAAATTATCTCTCGTGATTTTCCTAAGTCAGGCAGCTTTACTGCGACAACCGCTAGCTGTGAAAGTCCGGAAAAAGACATTATGTTTTACAGTTTGAACTTTCTCTCTCGAGTTTTAAACGTAAAATCGCTCTCCGATTAATAAAGAAAAAAAAGGACATTTCGAGAATTTTCTCTCAATTTATTTGCGCCCAACTGCTGCAACGCGTATTACAATTATGAAGCTGCACTACCTATCAGCACCGACATCCTACGCCTCTCGCATCGTTAATGTCTCCGCAGTTAATGCCAATGCACGCATTGAGGCATTAGGGAAAGCCGCATGATACAGGGACATTAGCATTATAGGCCCGGTCGGGACTAACAATAAATGATAAGCTTCGATGGATGAAATATGAAACTGAATGGATTTAAAGCGTGATGTTTATTCAAAGAAGATAGAGGGAGAGAGAGATTGGTTTAATAATTTTATCTCATTTCATGCATTACATCTTGTTCCTCGCTAAGCATTCTAATTCAAATACATTTACGTAAAACCGACAAGATCTAGAATCGGTAAATTTATCGGTGTAAATTTAAAGCAGTACGAAGAAACTCGTTTTTCGTATCCCTAGCAACATGCAGGGTGGACTTAGGGGAGCGCAACCCTCGTGAATAGGGATCAAAGTTAATTTAAAGAAGCGATGACATTGGCGTTCCCACAGCTCTAAGTCTATCGTTTTTAATCTTTTAAAAGAATTTTTGTAGGCAAAGTCTTCTTATAATTTAAGAGGGTGAATTCTTCTTTGGTCCAAAGAGTTTCAGTCTCAAATAAGGCTCAGTACCACGACGAGGTTGGATTACAGCATAGATTGTTTGATATTTACAGCGATAATGCGATTTACGAAAATTAATAAGAGCAGGGAAAAGGATTAATTAACATGGATCCTTGTCGTGACAAAACCTTTTTGATCCATCCACGAGCGGCGTTTGATAATATTATATAACTGTTCAACAATATAAGTGTATACAGAGTAGTAGACAAAAGACTTACGGGTTCCATCGAAGCGAGTCGCAATAGTATCCAAGAAAGTATTTTGTGGAGCGAGGAGGCCCTTCCTGACCGGCATTGGGGCCGCTCCACCGCGCTGTTAAGCGCACAAACCTACACAAATATGTAAATATCATAATTAAATTATTTGCATGTATATCACATACGTATTATCTATAAAATTAATATATACTTTTCAATTCATAATGTCAAATTATATCCAATTTGAATTATTTTTTAATCATTTCTATTGGGTCGCCAATGTTCCTACTTAATGTCATTAATTTTACTAAAACAATAGAATTAAGTTTAACTCCATTAAACAATTTAACTACAACCAAAAAAATGCATTAAATTTAACCCAAATTTAATATATTTAGTTGATTATTTACTAAGTGCATACATTAATACGAACGTTGTTTACATTGAAACTAACCACAGAAATGAATCAATTTATATTTTGACACATATGGAAGTTACAAATAACGAAATATTATTTAACTCAAGGGATTTGGTTATCCCGGTTACCATTGCTCTTCCTACCGGTGTATAAACTCAGTATAAAGAGACGTGAAAAGTATTTCATATATTTAACAAAATTCTCTTACGAACGTTGAGTTTCAATGTCATGTATTACATAATAAGTAAGTACCGAAATATACGATTCATTGGAGAATACTGTAAGTAAACATCATTCGAATCTATCTATTATCAGACAAAGTGCTATTGTAACGCACGTTGCCCGGGTTTCGAGCTGTGTGTGTGATACAATAAATATTTTCTGGAACTAATCCAATCACCTCGATTTTCCCATAGCCGAGAAATCATTGACCGTTCGTGAATAACCGGGTTATACTATTGCGTCTTGCATATCTCGGAATTATACATCTATGCAAATTTATTATGCTTGTTATCATTACCTCAGGACAATTATGTATATTTAGTTAATTAATCACGAATCGAGATAGAAAAACCACACGTTTATTTTCCTTGTAGAAAAATACTGCTACGCAGTATTTTGAAGCACTACACACACGCGCACGCACGCACGCACGCACGCATTACTACACTACTACATTACAACAGTAGTGTAGTAATGCGCAACAGTGCAGTAGTGCGCAATAGTGTGTAGTGGAGTAGTGCAGTAATGCAGTCATGTCTCAAAATATTATTGCGCTCAGTAGTACTTTTCTACAAGAGTTGTAAAATATTTGACATCATCAAGAGTGAATCATAAAATTGCTTGTGATAAATATCTTATATACATATCAAATGTATTAATAACATGTAATAATTACATAATGATTGAATTGTAAGTATTTCCGAAATATGGAAGATACGGATTCGAATCCCAGCTGAGATAGTATTATCCGTAATAAATTATTTGCAGATTTAAGATTCTCATTAACATCAAATTATTAATATTCTTATAAAGCATCTTAGCATTAAAAAGTTATTAAACTGCTTGTCAATTTAATAAGTGATATTACTATTTTAGTTCTGGTTATAATTGCGTTTCAAGACTGAAAAGATTTCGGCACGTAGTTTGCAGAATTAGATATGTATATAAATTCACGCAGAAATATTTAAGCATTAAGATCCATTTTGACCGAATATAGAATTTTTTTATTTAATTAGATTTAATAATTATATATTTTATAAATTTGAAAAAAATTAGGGCTACGAGCCAAAGGTTGATTATTGTGAATTAAATTATTTGTATAAATGTATCATAACAATAAAAAACACAATTTAATGTCTGCTATATATTTTATATATATATATATATTATATATATATATTTACCTTGTATATGTTCATACAATATTATAGGTATATTATTCATGAAGATGTACTGTGATTTTTTTTATCTCGGGGGTAGTACAATAAATGTCAGCATTAGATTATTAAGTAACCTACTGGAAAATTTCATTTCGGTTATTTTTCCAGTTCGGTATATTTACATTATATAACATAATACGTATTCAATACAAAATGTTACAATTTGTATTTATGTTTCGACTATAACTATTTATGAATAACGGTAGAGAGCACTCATATTATTTATCGATAACGAAAATTCTATGTAATCTCACTCTCTATGTAGGTACGTCTAACGTAAATTATTCTAGCCTCGTGCGCTGCATGTACACGCTCTTTAATGCTTTCAGAACGAAACCCATATAGCTTAACAATTTCTCGCTTTTAACGTGGAAACATGATACTTTAGTGATATTAATAATAAAAAAAATTTTATAATCCTAAAAAGAATTCTATTCTTTCGAAAGAGCAAACTCATTTAATCTCTCTTGGATATGAAAAATATGAAAAGAGCACAACATTACAAATATATATAATATATATATATATATATATGTATCGCGTGAACGTTGCAAGGAAAAATCTAATAAAATATGCATAAGCATAAATCTGTAAAAATCAAAATTTTATAATCAAATTGGTACAGTCAACCTGCCATTAAAATATTTTTCATGTTACATGATATTTTAAAAACGGTAAATTTACACTTTGTTCGAATGTAATGCTCGATCTGTGTGTTGTACATTAGAATGATCATATTAATTAGTTATACGTTGAGTCAGCCAAAATGGATCGAGGCACCAGCTGTGAGAAATCACGTTGGATATTTAAATTTGCACAATATTTTGCACATGATAGATCGCTTGAAATTAGCGGTATTAACTATTTATGTATTAAACAAGCTGATCAGGAAAATACAAATTAGTTATGGACACGAGAAAAATTTTTTATCTAATACTAAAAAGTTTTAACGATTTTAAAATAATAAAATTTTTGAACGCGATAATGCTCGAAAGAATCGTATTACTTCGTAATATTAATCGAAAAAGGAAGTTAATTCGTTTAAATTATTTATAATGAAGTAATACCGTTCTATTTTTTACGCCGAAATAAAATGGTGGGATGAGTATCGTTTATTTGACGTCGAGGAAAATGTTCTCCTTCCAACCAACAGGTTGTTCCATCGAATTGCGAGAAATTAAAAACCTCATTAGAAATCTTTTTCTAATGAAGTACGATATTTTTCTCGTTACTAATCAAATCTCATATATTTAAGAAGATATATATATATAACTGTAATGTAATTGAAATATTTTAATTATGACATTATTAATCTCGTAATTATGAATTATCGAATAAGGAACTTTCGTCATATGGAAACTCTCGAAATATGTCGAATGGCATACATTTTTGATCCCATCATTCTTTAGCAACGTGTATAATTACAGGAAGTTTGATAGATTTCCGTTCCCGATGGTACCGACCTTGTCGAGAAAGCGATTGTCCGCTCACTGTTCGAGCATCTTCGAACCACCACCACCGTCTATATCCACACCAATCCCTTCTTTGTTCACCCCCTTCGCTCCGAGATTAAGGGACGTTCGCGCTTCGTCCGTCAGTTCGATGCATTCGAGATGCGACACTCGGATCGACAGCCAGCGATTACCAGCAGGCTCGGGGTGCGCACCGGGCGGCCGCGCGAATCGTTCGCTGGCGATCGCGTAACTGACCGAGAGCCGAGGGGAGAGATTCCGTCTATCCTGATGGCCCGGGCTCCTGGCTGACTTGCGCCCCTCGCATCGAAGCGCAACATGTGGTAAACCGTGGGAAGGTAACAGACACACACGTCCTAGGCGTAGGTGAAGGCACGAGCGTGTACCTCCGATAAGTACGTGCTACGTACCCCCCGCGACGTCCCGCGTTACCCTGCGCCACCCTACGACACCCCGCGTTACCCCGTGACATCCCTCGCACCGCCGACGACCGCTGCCTGTGGGGTTGTGCGCGCGCGCGCGCAGCACACACACATACACACACACACCGTTCATTTGCGCGAGCGTGCAGGTGTACCTTAAAAATCTGATACGGATTTTAGCCAAGCTATTCGAGTTCGACGTTCGAGTTTTTTTTTTGCGACACTTGGGTTTTTTTTTAAATTCTTCCAACACTTCGCCGATAGGTCGACAGCCCGTGCGAATCGAGCGACACGTGCAACTTTATCTCACAATACGGGAGATTTCTAATAATTTCTCCGCAGAACTGTTATATTACTTAAATTATTATTTAAAGAAGTAAAGAGAGGAGTACATCATTCAATTTGCATATAATTGTATATGATCGAAATGGATGGTCTACTACTTTTTGGAAGAAAATTTGGATATTGGATCGAACGAAGATCGACGGCGGGACTTATGTTGCCAAGTTAAAACAAAATTCCATCATACGTGACATTGACGGATCGCTGTAGGGACTTCCTTTTCGTACCGCTAATATGGTGTACCGTTATTTCGTTCACGTCGAGACGGCGCCTATCCAACCAAACATTTTCGCTTGTCAAAGAATGCGTCCTGTGTCGAACATATTTTCGTTCGCTTCATTCCGCACAGCGTTTTACGACACGCGTTACGGCTACGCTTTGACGCACGGCTTCACGAGCTTACCTTATCTTTTCAAGGTCGAAACGTTGGAGCAAACGTGAGAGAACGTATTCCTTTGTAGCTGGGAAAATCCGGGATTTTCCAATTTTACAGTCTTTTCTAACGCATCGTGAGAGAGAGAAACCTAGATTTTAACTGTCACATGTGTATACATATAGGACAATCTGCTATATGTACATACACTAAAAAAATTTGCAGATTTTAAATAAATATTTACTCCAATAGTGTACTAATGAAATATTTATTTATAATAAATAAATATTTATTCAAAATAAAAGAGTTATGTTTAAATCGAATAAATCTATGTTTACATTTAGTAATTATTTTGTTAGTACTATTGGAGTAAATATTTATTTAAATCTGCAATTTTTTTTCTGTGTAGAAACGGGAAACGATTTTGCTAAAGTATCTAAAAATTTAGAATATAGTCTGAAAATAATTTTATTCGAACATCAAATAAAAAAATTATTCTGTAGAATGGTCTTAAATATTCATAACAGTGCTCTGTAAAAAGTTTTAACATTCTAACAATTAGCTTGAACTGATATATAATTATTTTGACGGTTCAAACAAAGTTATTTTCAAATCTGTGTTTAAATAAATTTTTCAAA